GGCAATTTCATGTTGTTGGGTAGAAAAACTGAAAGGACAGAACGCTGCACATAACTCTTTTATAAAAAAAAAACCAAAAAAAGGAAAAAAGGAAAAAAAAAGATAGAAAATAAAAAAAAAGATAGTTAACTATAAGAATGCAACCCTGTATATATGAAATTAAAAGTCGTCTTTTTACTTCAATCAAAAATTTGTCGTTGAAATATTATTAGACAGGAAAGACGTATAATTCATAGAGAAAAATTTTTTTTTGTTGTATTCAAATTGGAAATTCTTTATAGAAAAATTTTCAGAAGCAATTAGAACTTGATACGAATAAGTTCAGATATAAATAAAATAAAAAATGTCTACTAACGATATACCTCGCATTATGGTATTTCAGCCGACGTGGAATGAATTCAAAAATTTCCCAAAATATATAGCGTTTATGGAGTCGCAAGGAGCGCATAAAGCTGGATTGGCAAAAGTGCTGCCACCGCCGGGATGGTTAGCGCGTAAGAGCGGTTACGATAATTTGGATGCATTCAATATTACAATATCGAGCCCAATTAGCCAAGTGACTACGGGTGAACCAGGCGCTTATCAACAATTTGTCATAAAACAGAAACCGTTGACACTTGAACAATTTGCAGTATTGGCTAATACCGAACGTTATCGGACCCCAAGTCATCTTGATTATGAAGATTTAGAAAGAAAATATTGGAAAAATATAATTTACTTACCTCCGATTTATGGAGCTGGCGTTAGTGGTAGTATAACAGATACCGATCAGGACTATTGGAATATTAATCGTTTGGGTACTATACTTGACTATGTTAAGGAAGATTATGATATAGAGATTGGTGGTGTTAACACTGCTTACTTGTATTTTGGGATGTGGAAGACTACCTTCCCGTGGCATACCGAAGACATGGACTTATATTCTATAAACTATTTGCACTTTGGTGCACCAAAAGCTTGGTATTCGGTGCCACCAGAACATGGTCGTAAGTTTGAAAAAGTAGCAAATCAATATTTTAAGTCCACTTACCAAAATTGTAACGCTTTTCTAAGACATAAGATGACTTTAATTAGCCCAAATATACTTAAACAGCATGGTGTACCGGTAAATAAGATCACCCAACAGAAGGGTGAATTTATGATAACTTTTCCATTCAGTTATCATGCGGGTTTCAATCACGGTTTTAATTGCGCTGAATCAACGAATTTTGCAATGGAGCGCTGGATTGAATACGGCAAGCATGCCAGCCAATGTACGTGCAGTGCCGATAAAGTCAAAATATCGATGGATACTTTTGTCAAACGCTTTCAACCGGAACGCTATCAAAGCTGGCTTGCTGGCACCGATTATGGTCAACACCCTGAATTTTCACCTAAAAAACCAATACCAACTTCTCGGTTATCCTTATCCTTGGATGCTATAGATAATAAATGTAATGAGAATGCTCATTCC